GGTCCTTGGTGCACTGACAGTATCTGCAAGTGGTGGCTTCCAGCAAGTCCTGATCATTTTAAACTTACACATCTGCTACTAACTTACTTTCTTAATTAAGAAAGAGCAGCCCAAAGGCTAAAACCCTCCTGCAGACAACAGTTGGTAATAAGCAATAACTTGCATAGTTATTTTTAATCATATCTAATTTTTTAATTGTGTCCCTATGACAATTGGTGCTGATTTTTTTAAATTGTTATTTTTATATTTTAAATAATTTTTATTTTTCAGTCATAGTTGATGTAGAATACTATATTAGTTTCATGTGTGTGACCCAGTGACTAGACATTATATAACTTACTAATAAATCTAGTACCAATCTGACAGGATACATAGTTATTACAATATTATTGACTATATTTTTATGCTGTACTTTATATCCCTGGAATTGTTCTGTAACTATCATTTGTACTTCTTTTTTTATTTTTATATTTTATTGATTTTTTTACAGAGAGGAAGGGAAAGGGATAGAGAGTTAGAAACATCAATGAGAAACATCAATCAGCTGCCTCCTGCTCATTCCCCACTGGGGATGTGCCCGCAACCAAGGCACATGCCCTTGATCAGAATTGAACCCAGGACCCCTCAGTCCGCAGGCCGATGCTCCATCCACTGAGCCAAATTGGTTTCGGCCCATTTGTACTTCTTAATCCCTTCCCCTTTTTCACCCAGCCCCCATCTCACCTCCCATCTGGTAATAATCAAAATGTTCTCTGTATCAATGAGTTTGTTTCTGTTCTGCTTGTTCACTTATTTTATGGGTTGTTTTTTTTTAGATCTATTTTGTCTGGTGTAAATATTGCTACTCCAGCTTTCCTTTGTTTATTTCCATCTTGATGAAATATCTCTTTCCATCCCTTTACTTTTAGTCTGTGTGTCTATCTGAACTGAGCCTCTTGTAGAAAGCATATAAAAGAGTCTTGTTTTGTTATCCATTGAGCCTCAATATGTCTTTTGATTGGAGCATTTAATCCATTTGCATTTATTTTTTTATTTTTTATTTTTATTTTAAAATATATTTTATTGATTTTGAATAGAGAGAAAGGGAGAGAGATAGAGAGCCAGAAACATCGATGAGAGAGAGTCATCTGCCTCTTGCACACCCTCTACTGGGGATATGCCTGCAACCAAGGTACATGCCCCTGACCGGAATCGAACCCGGGTCCCCTCAGTCCCCAAGCCGACGCTCTATCCATTGAGCCAAACCGGTCTCGGCAATCCATTTGCATTTAAATTGATGGTTAATACAATAGATACACATGTATCTAAAACTGAATAATAATTATATATATATTCTTCTTCTAAAGAAAGACCCTTTAACATTTCATGATTTCATGTAATATTGGTAGTTTTTTCCTGTCTGGGAAGCTCTTTTTCTGTTCCTCAGGTTTAAATGATAGCTTTGATGGGTAGAGTAATCTTAGATATAGGTCCTTGCTTTTCATAACTTTGAATATTTCTTGCCAATCTCTTCCAGCCTGCAAAGTTTCTGTTAGAAATCAGCTGACAGTCCTTTGGGAGCTCCCTTGTAGATAACTGCTTTTGTCTTGCTGCTTTTAAGATTCTCTTTGTCATTAACCTTTGGCATTTTAATTGTGTGTTTTGATGTGGGCCTCTATGGATTCATCTTGTTTGGGACTCTGCACTTCCTGGACTTGTATGGTCTGTTTCCTTCATCAGTTAGGGAAGGTTTTTGTCATTATTTTTCACATAGGTTTTCAATTCCTTGTTCTCTCTTTTTTTTGGTACTCCCATGATGCAATTGTTGGTGTGCTTGAAGTTGTCCCAGAAGGTCCTTACTTTTTTGGATTTTTTTTTTCTGTTCTGATTGGATGTTTTCTGTTTCTGATTTGATCCTCTGTTTCATTTACTCTACTGTAATGTATTTTTCTTTTCAGTCAATGTAGTCTTCATTTCTGACTGGTTCTTTCTATGTTTTCTAGTTCTGTTTTTTTAATATTTTCTACCTCTTTGTTTTTACTAAGTTCATCTACTCTTCCCCTAAGTTCATTGAGTATCCTTATAACCAGTGTTCTGAACTCTGCATCTGGTAGATTGCTTGTTTCCATTTTGTTTAGTTCTTTTTCTGGAGTTTTGTTCTGTTCTTTCATTGGGGACACGTTTCGTTGTCTCCTCATTTTGGCAGCCTTCCTGTGTTTGTTTCTAATGTATTGGGTAGAGCTTCTATGTCCGCTGGGCTTTGTAATGTGGTCTTACATAGCAGGTGTCCTGAAGAGTCCAGTGACATAGCCTCCCTGATCACCTGAGCTGGGCACTCCATGTGTGCTGCTACCCCATGTGGGCTATATACACTCTCCTGTTGTAGTTGAGCCTTGATTGCTGTTAGCACCTCAGTTGGGAGGGATATATCACTGGGTTAATTGGCTGTGAGGAATGGCTGTGACCATCCTGGTGGATCAGCTGTGCAGCAGCCAACCTCATGTAGCAGGACTTATTTCAATGGGGTTCTGGTGCCTGCTCAGTTTTCCCCTTGAGAATGTCCCTTATGGAGGAGATGAGGTGGTGCTTTGATGTGGCCTGAAGCTTCCACTAGGAGTGTATCTCTGAGGCCTCCCAGGAAGTCAGTTGCCACTTGTGCCCTGCACTAGACCACCTGGCATGAACTACAAAGCAACAAGTAGGTGTCTGCTACTTGTGTTGGTCTTGGAGATGCCCAGCAGAGGCCAAGCTCTGAACAAAGGTCAGCTGCTGCTAGTGCTGGACCTGAGGCCACTTAGCAAGATATACATGGCATGTGGAGGCCAGATACTGTTTTATTTTTTTGTGTGTGTTTTCGGTATTTAAGGAACATCCAAGCATGAGCCAAGATGGGCTGTTTATATGGAAAAGCCATTGGAAATGACTTGGGTTGGACCCAGAGTTGGGTGGGGCAGGATCTCAGGGAATCGCCGGGGCAGGTGAACAGTGATAGCCAGGTTGATGGAGACTCAGATATGGTACCTGCCTGCTGGCTCTGTTGGGGGAGGACTCAGCAAAGAAACAATGGCCTCTGCCAGCACTTCTGCTTGGGATAAAGCTGCCCCTCCAGCTTTTGCTTCAATGCCAGACAACTCAGTTCCTCCTCATATGCCCTTGGTGCCCCAGTGCTGGAATTCAGAGTGAACAAGTCCAAGTAGGTCTGAGCCAGCCATTTAAAAGGTACTGCCTGAGACTCCGGAAGTCACAATCCCTGCTGGTTTTTATAGCCAGAGGTCATGAGGACTTCTCTTTCTGGTGCTGGGACCCTGGGCTGGTGGGGAAAGGTTGGTGTGGGGTTGGGACCTTTTGCTCCTCAGAAAATACCTTTTTATCCAAGATATTTCTGCAGATTTTTGTCTGGTGTGGGACCAGCTCACCGTGGTCTGGAGTGACTACCACCCCCCTACCAAATGGACAAAACCCCAGAAACAAAGAATATGGGCAGTGGCCCCTGGAAGTTTTAGTTTGCAACCCCTGTGTGGAGACAAGGAAACATGGGTTCCTTAGATAGGTAGCTTTAACTAATTTTGGCATTCCTTAGGGAAAAAAATTAAAGATCTCTCCATTCTCTCTTTTTCTGGCTGATTTTTTTCCAGCGGGGTGTCTAATACAGACAGTCTTATTTTCATCATCACCCAAACCTTTAAAGCAGAAGTCTTCATTAAATACAAACTAAAGAACAGGCTGGCTTAGAAGTATCAGGAGGAGCATTTTGTACAGTATACCGTTGTCTAGCCACTATGTCGTACACCTGAAACTGTGGCAGGTTAGTAAAAAGCCAGGGGAAATTCCCTGACAAGTATTATAAAGGAAACTGAGGCAAAATAATTAAACAAGGCCAAACAATTTGAGTTTACAGTGAGCTAATGAATCACAAAGTTTCCTCTTCCCTAACCAAGGACACTTAGGAACAAATAGTTTCCACATTCCAGACTGTCTGGGGGCAGAACAACCTCTGTCCCATTTTTCTTCAATGATGTTCTTTGAAAATAAAACTAACCAGGAAATAACTTGTGATACCTATATACGCACCTTTTGATGGATCAACATATTGAAGGTCACACCTGGAAAGCTAATGAATATTCTGCTAAGACCTCTTATGAGACCTTCTCTGGGATTCCCACTGGCCAGAGAAAGATAAAAAGCCTCAAGACAAAGGATCCAGGGCATGCTCTTGCTAGAGCACCCCCTACACCTGCATCTCTGCTTTCCCCCCCCTAAACTCTATGGGTTCTCATGAGACTTGCAACCAGGGGAGCAGTGGGCAGCTGCAGCTCATCCCAGGCTTACTCTTTGAACTTGTCTCCAAGGCCCCCATTTTCTCTGACTTCCCAGTAAGCTCACCTCATTTACTGTAACCTATTTCTCAGTGAGCCAAAGCAGCCCACCCAGGCTCTCTCCTTGCTTCTTCTACCCTAAGCCCTTCCTTTGTCTCACTGTCCTTCGCTTGAATAAACGTTCTCTCCAAATCACCAAGACTGGTGTTGTGCAATCCTTCCTACACAAAGTCAAGAACCCACACATTACTGGTCAGCCCTAGACAGACCCCCTCGGGGCCCAGACCCAACCCAGTCACAAAACTAATACAAAAAATACTGAATGTAAGCCATATCTGAAAAAAAGAAAAAGAGAGTAGGATTGGCTACCTAATTTGTGGGAACCATTGCAGAATGAGAATGTGGGGCTGTTTGCTGAAATATCATTAAGGAAGTTTAAGATGGTGTTAGCAGATCATTAACCCAGGATGCGGCCTTCTGGAAGCCCAGGTCTGGGGCAGTTGCAGTTAGTTCTTCCAGGAAGCAATGGCAGTGGGAGTCTGTCCTCTTGACGAACTGCCAGGCACCAACTACCTGCCGTAAAAACCACACCTTCATCTTGATGAGAAATCAAATGACCCCCCGCACCCCACCACTCGACATGGCAGCATTCCCAACCTAGATGCTGGCACGCGTGGGCACATCCGAGGCTGTGGCTCCGGGCGATTTGGTTTTAAATTTTATTTTCATGTACAGTTTCAGATTATACAAAACATAGAAAATGTACTATTTTAAAGGCACATTAAGGAGAAAGTATTTAACTACCCTAAAAATCACATTTGTCCACAAACCAAGATTCAGACATAACCTCTAGGCCTTTCCCTGCGTGTCCTCATCACCACCGCGCCCGCAATATACAAAACTGCCCAACACGCTGTGTTATAAGTAACCTTTCAACGATTAGCAAGTTTAGTCATTCCCCACCCAGGCAGATTCTAAAAGATGCTACAGCTTCTATCAAAGCTACTATGTTTAGTGTGTTTACATACAGGCTCGGGGGTCCACGTGTCCTCGGCATTAGTTAACACAGAGCATCCCAGGACCTCGGCCTGTCAATTAGGGATGCACACAGGCCAGCGACCTGACGCAGAGGATGGAGGATTGGGAGGGAGGTCTCCAATTCTCCTATGTTCAGGTAGAAATATTTACATTCACTCAGAGCTACACATACATCAGTTTTCCAAACTCACATCACAGAGACCCAAAGTAATTTTAATGTAACAAGACGGGTTAGTCTGTCTCCATCCGTAGCCCCTCCATGAAAGAATTACAGTACTGTATAAAAATGTCCTAAAATGCGCAAACTACAGTTCCTTCAAATACAGTTGTTACCAGTAATATATTTGGTCCTAATTTTTGCTTCCTGGATGACTCAGTTTTCTTTGTTGTTGAAGTTCTTGAGTAATGGATCATAAGCACCAAGGGCTGATTCTGCCTACAGAGAAGAAATGTGGGTATTTTCTCCCTGATGCATTACCGCTTTCCCACCTCCGCAATGCAGGGCAGGCAGCTCTCATGAGTCACAAAACCTTGCCATCGCAGTGGATGTGGATGTAAGTGCTGTACAGCCAGGAAAATCCAGGGGTCGTTTCAGATTCTCGTGTACCCCTCAAGTTCTGGAGAAGAAAAAACTTGGGGATGAGGCTTACCAGAGTTCTGGTTCTGAGGGCTGCTTGCTTGTTTCCATGTGGCCACCAGGAAGCTAGAGAAAAGCCACCTGGCTGGAAAGCTGGGGGCACGTTAGACCCACCTTCCTCCAGCGGCTCCTATAGCATCCTCCAAACCCCAGGAATGTGATTGCTCTGACCCACCCCGTGCCTGAGTTTTCCAGGAGGTGCACTCTGTCCTGATCCTGGTCTGATGTCAGCCTGCCCTGTGTTGGTGGTCTCTCTGTAGGGAGGGTTTGTCCTGCCTCAGGGAGGATGTCTGGATTTGCTCACCAGTGTTTTCAAAGCCTAGAACATAGCAGGCGTGGAGTACTCTGTTGAAAATGAACAATGAATGAATTGAGTAGATGGACAGAAAAACCCAAATTCTGCACTGAAAAGGAGTCCACGGTGGCCCCTAGACTGCTCAACACAGACCTGGGCTGATGGCAGATGGCTGCCACTCAGCAGGTCAAGTGCAGAAGCATTTAGGCAGCACCTGTGCCGAGACGTGGCCAACAGGTTGCACTGGCCCAGGCATACCTCCCCAGAAGCCTGCTCAGAGCACCAGAGGAAAAGGACAGAGACGCACAAAGAGCTCATTCAATGGGGCACGCCCCACGGTCAGGCGCATTGCCACGCACCGCACCTCACGGTGCTTTTACATCTAAGGACAAACTCCCCAAAGCCGCATTTGTCAGTAGAGTCTCAGAATTGTCTGGAACACCCACCCACCTAGACCCTGACAAGGCAGATTCCCCCGAGTGGCACTTGGGCTCACTCACGTCTGAGAACCACAGCAGACGGGGCTCCTGCCACTGCTTCATTGGCTATCAGGACCCTGGGATGCTCCACAGAACTAAACGTTCTCTTGATGGAATAGACAATGCTGCCCAATAAGTGCCAGCTGCACGGGCTAAGCGAGCAATGTTTAGGGTGATCTCCATGCCTCCCAGGGCATTTGAAGATAGGCAGGCACAAAGCAGGTTCCCTCCCACCCACTGGCCTCGCTTTTCAATCCTTGAGTATGGTCTTCGAAGCCTTCATTACAGTTTTTATAGTTTTTCCTAATTGGTTTTTTAATTCATCTTCTCCTTAGAAATGAGCCCAGGAGAAATTATCACCAAGCCTTATGCTGATGAATGAATGAATGAATGAATGGGTAAATGAATGGATGGTGGATGGGTCCTCTGAGGCTCCAGAAATGGAGTTAGTAGAGGCCACCAGCTTAGAAGGCAGGTCAGGAAGAGAAGGGAAAGGCCTTCTGACTTAGGGTTATAAGGAGGCTGTGCCTCCCAGGATGGCTGGCTATTGGGGTGTGGGGCCTGGGCCTGGAGTTTGGGTGGTCCAGATGAAAGCAGCTGAGTTAGGGACAGGGAAGAATCCAGAGCTGATGGAGGCCAGGGCTTTGGTCTGCAGTGGGGTCTAGAGTAAGGAGACCAGATGTCCCACTTTTGGCCAAAAGAGGGACGTCTAATCACCTTACTCTAGAGCCGCCTCCCAACTTGATGATTAGAGCTTTAATGTTTGAGAGGCAGTTCTGCTCCCTGGGTTCTGGACTGTGGCCCTCAGCTTTAAGGCACATAAGCATCACAAAGAAGCTTGTTAGTAAGGCAGGCTCCCGGGCCCCACCCCAGAAAACTGGGATTTTGTAGGTCTGGGGGTGGGCACCCGATAGTGTGCATTTTACAAGGTGTCCTAGGGATCACAAGAGGAAAGTCTTTGCCTCAGGGTAAGCCCACATCTGAACCCCCCTCCCAAGGCAAGCAGGGGACGCCGTCTGCAAATTTCGGTGGCACCTTCTGGACCTAGCCCGTTATAGGCAGTTAGGGCTGTGGTCTGGATACAGGCGGAACACCAGGGTCCACACCTGTTTCTCATATGGAACTTGGCTAAACACCTGAGGAGGTTTCATCCCTCACCTGGCCGCCGCTCACCCCACCTTCCACCACTGACACCCAGAGATTCGGGAAAGGGAAGCTGAGATGAGGAGGACATGGTGTGGCCCAGACCTGGCTTTCTCGGCCTCGTCCTCACATCCTGTCCCCGTGGTAAGGAAACACGCCGCTGAGCATTTTAGGATTTGAGCATTGCTGGATTTTTGGCTTTGCCTCATTGGGACTTTCCCACGGCGGGAGTTCTGAATTCCAGCCTTCATAGTCTGTTCTCTGATCTCAAGAATGCAAAAACTCTCTCTCTCTCTCTCTCTCTCTGGCTTTTAAAGGAAACAATATGTTTGCTAAAAAAACCCACAAAACAAAACAAAAAACAACAACAAAAATCACACAAAACGGATTATATACAAAACGGTTATCTGGATGTAGATTCTGTACTGCGTGAGAGCAATGGAGCGTTGGCGGTCTATTTGCGCTTCCTCAGGATCAGGTACATGAGGCCGCTGATGAAGGTGAAGGCGAAGGCCACCCAGGCCAGGATGAAGGAGTAGCCGTACGAGCCTTCTGCGGCCTGAAGATAGAACCCCATGTTTCCGTGGTGAATGTCTTGGCGTCGGTCTGTGTAGATGGAAGCTGCAATCATGACGCACAGGCCTGGGAGAAGAAAAGTGAAGAAACCAATAAATCACTGACCGCAGTGTGTCCCGGGCCCCTGAGGGGACTATTAAGGACCAATTTAAGCTTTTATTATTATGGGTGTTGCTTTAGTCTATTGGAAAGATGATAACGAATATTTTAGTTGACTATCTGCCTCCCCTTGTCACCATTTTGCTGCCCATTCTTGCTAGCTGAACCCAATTTTTTTTTTTTTTGAATATGTGTTTATTGATTTCAGAGAGGAAGGTAGAGGGAGAGAGAGATAGAAACATCAATGATGAGAGAGAAGCATTGATCAGCTGCCTCCTGCATGCCCCCCCACTGGGGATCGAGCACACAACCTGGACACGTGCCTTGATTGGAAATCGAATCATGACCTCCTGATTCATGGGTCGACGCTCAACCACTGAGCCATGCTGGCCGGGCTGAACCCAATTTTATTTGTACAACCATGTGCCGAGCCCAGAAGATAAGACATAATGTATTTAAGCAGGGATCAGCTGGACAGTAGATGGTTCAGGCTTTGCAGGCTCTGCACAATGTCTGTCCCCCACTACTCAGCTCTGTACTTTCCCTTGCAGACTGCTTTAGCCTGTTCGGTCAGGATGGAATGGCCGGAGCTGTGGCAGCCTTTTGGGGGTCATGAGAGGGTTGCCACTGACACTCTGAAGATGAGGGCATAGAAGGATGAGAGGTGTGGGGGTTGGGGGTACTGCTGCTGAGCTGCCAGACCAACTCTGGCACCTTCCACCTCCTATTTGTTCTATTAAAAGAGCAAAGGTCTTTGTGGCTGAAGTCATTGTTAATTGGAATTTTCTCTTACTTGTAGCCAAAGGCAACTTGATTGAAAGACATGAATGCTAGGATGAGGTTAAGCACCCTGGTTTTCCTTGCAGGACCTGTGGCCTCTCCTGGCCAGGTAGGACTGTCCATCAGCCCTTCTCTAACTGGGGGTTTTGTGGATGACAATCTCTGCCAACCAGACTGCTGTTCCTGGAGGCTTGAATCTAGGGGGAAGTCACACTGTTGTCTGATTCACACGGATTCTGCCAGCATCTCGCTGAAGGGACTGCCCATCAGTTCCTGCTGCCTGGAGCCTCTATCCAAAATCCGGTGTCCAGCTTTTCCTTTGAATCGTGTGAGCTGCCCCGACACCCAGCTCTCGCGAACGTTAGAGCATCTGTTGCTCATACCTGAACATCACTGACTGATATGGCGTCCAAACCTTGCAGGCTTGGGGAAGAAGAGGGAGGGGCAGGTCCTCGGACCAGAAAATGGTCAAAGGAGTAGTTGTGGACGGGAAAGGGGTGTGTGTAACTTTTGTTTGAAGGTAACCCAGTTTTGACTAAGTGGCCTTAAGAGACAAATAGAAAGCCCTGACCCGTTTGACTCAGTGGATAGAGCGTCAGCCTGTGTACTCAAGGGTCCCAGGTTCGACTCTGGTCAGGGGCATATGCCTTGGTTGTGGGCACGTCCCCAGTGGGATGTGTGCAGGAGGCAGCTGTTTGGTATTTCTCTCTCATCAATGTTTCTAACTCCCTCTCCCTTCCTCTCTATAGAAACATCAATAAAATATATATATTTTAAAAAGAGACAAATAGACAAATGGAGACAATAACAGAAAGGAAACTTGAATGAGAAACTCAACTCTGTCTCTGCATGCTAAGTGTGGAAATTCAATGGCCTTTAATGGTGTGAGTAGTGGGGTGTCCGTGCCTCTTGCTGGGAGACACAGGAAAGTAAAGGAAGAGGCAGAGCAGACACCCCCTCACGGGTGCCCTTGGGTAAGTCACATTACTTCTCTCGGCCTCACTGGGTCTGAGTCTGCATCACTGCTCCCAAGTGCTGGGCTCATGGATGAGAACACACATCCCCACGTTCTAACCAACGGGTCCCGATGGGCCTTTGGGGGCTGCACTTTAGACAGGTCCCCAGAGGAATCCTGGTGGACTGGGGGCTCGGGGACCAAGTGACCCTCTAGGGTTTTTTATGATCGAAATACTTTAATCTCTGCCTGGCTTGTCAGGTAAGGTGCCCTCAGAGAAAGATGCTGTGTGTGACCAGCCATCCTCTATGCCCAGGACTAAGGGGTTTCCTGGGATGCAGGATGCAGTTGTAAAATTGAGTCAGCCCGGCTGGAGTGGCTCAGTTGATTGAATATTGTCCTTGTGCATGGAAAGGTTGCCGGTTCAATTCCTGGTCAGGGTATATGCCTGGGTTGTGGGTTTGATTTCCAATCAGAGAGCATGTGGAAGGCAATCGATCAATGTTTCTCTTTCACATTGATATTCCTCTCTCTCTCCCTCTCCCTTTCCCTCTCTCTCTTCCTCAGCATGTTCTTGGGTGAGAACAGTCGCAGGCACACAGATCCTCCTGATGTGTGGTAACGTGCCTTGGGGCTATGCTGAGGGCATGGCAGGCCTGGACTTCACTCTGGGCTGCAGAGAATGAGGCTGGGACACAGACGGCTGGCTGGAAGGAGGTAGAGTTAGCACCAAGCAGGAGGCGGTCTCCGAAGTACAGAGTTCTCATCCTCCTCAAGCCCTGTATTGCCTCTTGAGTGGAAAGTACCCTGGAAGGAGGGGCTTCCAGTTCTATCATCAGAAAGCTTTAACTCTCTGAGGAATAATAACAAACCATCCCGTGGTGACACAGGCTTCTGCACCCGATTTCAGCATCGCTGAAACTCACAATAGGGCAAAGTGCTCTGAGACACCTTTTTTCTCTAAGTCCCTCCAGGATTGAGGCCGTGTCCTGTTCAGCTCTGTATCTCCAGCAGCCCCCAGAGGCCCAGAGCAGGCACACCTAACACCAACCAGCCAAAACGACGGCAGAAAAGCCTGTTGATGGCTTCCTACCAGCTTGGGGGAAAGACCCCCCAAATCCTAGCAGGCTTACACCTGTGAGTCTGGTGTAGATCACACCAGGCCTCCCACACAACGTGCCCCCCCCCCCCCGCCCCCCAGGTCGCTACACTGCAGCCCCCTGGCCAGCTAAGTCTCTCTTATCACAGGGCTTTGGTCACGCTGTTCCCTCTGCCTGGCACACTGTTTCTTCCCCTCGGTACCAACAGAGCACATCCTGCAGCAACTCCTCCTCACCCTACAGATCCGACTCAGGAAGGACGCCCTCCCTGACCCCAAACTAAATCCAAACTCCAAAATGTGAAACATCCCAGGGAGGCACCAGGGCTCAGCTGCCAACCCCACCTTCCCAAGTCCTCGCCTGCCAGGCTCCTGGCTGGGAGGGGAGGTATTCCAGGAAGCCTGTTTTACTTACACGACATGAGCTGGATGATGGAGGTTAAGACAAACCTCTCTCCCTGCTTGAGGCGGAAGAGCTGGAGCAGGAAGATGAAGAAGGCAATGCAGCAGAGAATGGTGGACAGGATCATGCTGGCCTGGACCGCCTGCATCGTGGAGTAATCTGTGAAAGAGGACAAAAGTGTGGGACTGAGGACTGCAGGTGCCCCGGGCCCCCAGGCACAGGGACAGGGCCAGCTGCCGAGTGGGAGGACAAGACTAGAGTGCAGGGAGCACAAGGTGAGCACAGGGCGGCCAAAAAGTCTTCTCTCCCAGTTCCCTCTGGTGTCCACTTGTGCACTTGACCCGAGATCCCGTGTCCTTATCTGGAAAACGGAGAACCACCACCTGCTGGGCATTCTTCCTGGCCTGGGTGGCTCTCAGATGGGGGATTATTTAAAAGTACAAGCCACCAGGTTCCCAGCTGGCAGGTTCTGATTCCAGAGCTCTGAGACAGGTCAGTTTGCATGTCTGTTCTTTAGCGCAGTGGTCTGCAAACTCATTAGCCAACAGCCAAATAGCAACAGTACAACGATTGAAATTTCTTTGGAGAGCTGAGACCGGTTTGGCTCGGTGGATAGAGCATCGGCTTGGGGACTGAGGGGACCCGGGTTCGATTCTGGTCAAGGGCATGTACCTTGGTTGTGGGCATATCCCCAGTAGGGGGTGTGCAAGAGGCAGCTGATCGATGACTCTCTCTCATTGATGTTTCTAGCTTTCTATCTCTCTCCCTTCCTCTCTATAGAAAATCAATAAAATATATTAAAAAAAAAAAAAAAAGAAATTTCTTTGGAGAGCTCACATTTTTTAAACTTAAACTTCTTCTAATGCCACTTCTTCAAAATAGACTCGCCCAGGCTGCGGTATTTTGTGGAAGAGCCACACTCCAGGGGCCAAAGAGCCGCATGTGGCTCACGAGCCATGGTTTGCGGACCTTGGATTTAACGAGACCTCTGGAGGCATTCTCGGGGATGTGGGGCCCTCGGGACTGAGTGACCTTCTGAAAGTACATTCGAGAGAGTGAACCTTGTGCTCGCTTTTTAGGAAAAGGAAAGCTACGTTTGCGTGAGGTGTGAGCAATCGGGGTTTGGTACAGGGAAGCTTGAGCAAAGACAGGAGCATGGGAAGGACACTGCTGGAGACCTGTGCCCAAGGTGTAGAGGGGTCACCTGCATGAACCTCAGTTTCCTCACCTGTGAAATGGGGACAATAACAGCTCCCACCTCAGCAGGCTGGGAGAGTGGGGTGAACTCACCCGTGGGAGGATTTTAGGGGGTGCCCTCCCCGCAAAGGGAATGCTCTGTAAGGGCTGATGTTATCACCAGGACGCAGGTTAAGATGGTTGAGGGGACAGTGCCCAGAGCTGCAGAGGAAAATCTAAGGAAAACCTTCCTTTTTTCTTTTTGCAGTCTTGCCTATAAAATGACTAGAGGGAGGCATACTGTTAAGTTCTTAGTGGAATGTGAAGCAACGGCCCTTAGTGTGGTCTGGTGGCGCGTGAAGATCTGCCCAGAGAGCATGGAGCCCCTCCCCCACTGCTTCCAGAGAGGAAGAACCCTCGTCCCCTCCCCCAACCCCACGTGATCGCATCCCATGGAGTCCAAGAACAGGCAGAGCAAACAACAGTGGTAGAAGTGGTTGCCCTCAGGGCAGGGGGTGGTGGGAACTGAGCTAAGAGGGGCCCGAGGGAGCTCTCTGGGGGGACGGAATGTTCTCCTTGCCCAGCTGGCGTTGACAAGGGTGCATACATAATTGTCAAAGCTCTTTGAACTGAGGCCTTAGGAAGCAGACATCTTCTCGCTTGTAAATGATAGCTCTGCTCCGCTAGTTATAAAAACATCCGGGAGGCTACAGGAGGCTACACCGAGATGACCGCCATCAGAACCTCTGGTGCTGTTGGGATCTGGCCTGGAGCGGGTGCCACCTTCAATGGGATCCTCTCTTTCTGCACTCTGCCACGTGGGGACACGAGGGCCAGGCTGTCTGCACACCAGCACGAGTGTCTGTTCTCACCAGACACCAGACCTGCCCCGTGAGACACACATGTCTGTTGTCCATGACACCCACCCAGCCTATGGTTACACACTGCCTGGACATATGAAGACCATGGCCTTAGGAGGAGAGGATGCATGTTTAGAACAGGATTTCTCAACGTTGGGGGTGCAGGGATGGGGGTGCAGGATGTAGTGCTGGATGCCGACACTCCCCCACTGAGAGGGATGCTCACTCTGCTCTCGTTTACACGTGGACCTCAGGGAGTTCTCCATGTGGCCTGTTAGCACGTGTATAACACCACGTGATAACACTGCTGATATCTGGGTTTGGTGGTGGCTTCGATTTTTGTTTTTGTTTTTTTCTCCATTTTTTAAATTAAGGTATTATATGTGTACATATCTTACCATTGCCCCCCCATACATGCCCTCACCCCCCCCCCTCTGCTTTGCGTCTGTTGGTTATGCTTATATGCATGCATGCAAGTCCTTCGTTTGATCTCTTATCTCCCCAACCTCTCCCTAACCTTCCCGCTGTAATTTGACATTCTGTTTGGTGCTTTACTGCCTCTGTATCTATCTTTTTGTTCATCAGTTTATAATGTTCTTTATTATTCACAAATGAGTGATATTGTGTGGTATTTTTCTTTCATTGACTGGCTTATTTCACTTAGCATAATGCTCTCCAGTTCCATCTATGCTGCTGCAAATGGTAATAATTCCTTTTTTTTTAATAGCAGCGTAGTATTCCATTGTGTAGATGTACCATAGTTTTCTGATTTAGTCACCTGCTGATGAGCACCTCGGCTATTTCCAAATCTTAGCTATTGTAAATTGTGCTGCTGTGAACATAGGGGTGCATATATCCTTTCTGATTGGTGTTTCTAGTTTCTTAGGATATATTCCTAGGAGTGGGATTACTAGGTCAAATGGGAGTTCCATTTTTAGTTTTGTGAGGAAACTCCATACTGTTCTCCACAGTGGCTGCACCAGCTGCATTCCCACGGTGGCTTTGTTTTTAACAAGGACCAGAAACAGTCCCGGGACCTTCAAGAGGTAGATGCATCTGGTGAGGATTTAATAACATTTGATTTTCAATGTAGCACTTTAAACTTGCTTTATGGCACGTGATTCCAGGACAGCATTGATGGAGGGATGCAACGTCCCTTTTAAAATAAATGGATGCAAGAAAACCATGAGCAGTGTTCAAGTCGGGTCGGCAGGCTTTTCTCTGAATACTCTGGGTCTGGTGGCCATATAGTCCCTTGTTATTTTCACCTTTTTTTTTTTTTTTTTTTTTTTTTTTTTTGTCTTAACTCTTTAAAAGTGCAAAAACCGTTCTTAGCTCATTGGACTGAATTTGGCTGGTAGTCTGCCAACCCCTGTTATTTGAAGGAAAAGTAACAGGGAATTAAATAATTCCACGTAGAGGATATGGAACGCAAATAACAGAGGCTTGGAAACACTGCCACGGAGCACACAGCCAGCTCGCCCAGCTGACCACGCACACTGACAGCCGGGGCTGCAGAGCTCGGGGGAGAACGGCTGTTCCCAGGGCCCGGGGTTAGCGTGGCAGATAAACGCACTGAGGGGGGAGGGTGTGGCAGGGACCACATGATGCATTTCAGAGCACAGGCTTCAGTGTCCATCACTTCAAGACTGGAATCCTGGCTCCATCATTTAGTCCTCGATGTGTTACCTTGGGTTTCCGCTCCGTGCCTCAGTTTCCCTATCTTAAAACAGGGCCAATGGTCGCTGACGGATAGGGCTATGAAGCTGCATAGGTAAAAGACGTAGCCCTGTGCCTCGCAGGAGACCTTCAGCAAACGATGCCTTCTACTGGTACGTACTTCTGCTGCTTGTGCTATGAATGTTGATGTTGTTCCTGACGGGATGTGAGACTTTAGGAGTCAGTGAGCAGGGTCCCTTGCTCCCTAAATAGGATTGCCAGATTTGGTAAACAAACACACACAAAGAAACAGGATGCCCATTAAATATGAAGGTCAGATAAGCAACACTTAATTTTTTTTTTTTAGTATAAGTATGTCCCATGTTAATATCTGGAGACATACTTAAATTATCGATGGTTATCTGAGATACCAAAGTTAATGGGGCATCCAGTATTTTGTCAGGCACTAGGACCCAAAGTGCCTCTTGCATCAGTTCTGGAACAGATCACAGAGCCTTCCTCTCCGGAGGGCAGGAGAGTAGTAGCCGGCGTGGGTCTGAGTGGGATGTCCCTGCATTTGCAAAGCCCTTTGGTACTTCCGCTCGTGCCCAGAGGCAGGCAGGGAAGGCACACTGCTTCTACCTCCATTACAGCTGAGGACACTTTGAGCACTCAGATGACCTGTCCCAAGGCAAGGTCACACAGCTCACAAAGGAGCCAGCTATGGAGATGATGGGAAGTGACACGGGCGTCAAATTCAGTCTCTGAGCCTATGGAGAGGGGAGGCTTGGATAAATGAGAAAGGAGGTAAGAGTCTAGATAAGGGCTGGAGCTAAGAAAGCGTGAGGAAAGGAAGCTCTGCTTGGCCAAGACACAGAGATGGGTGAGCTTAAGGTAGGTGGGGTTGGTGCGCCCTCCAGCCTCTAACTTCTCCACGCCCACCCCCACCCCGCCTTCAGCTGCCATCGTTCCTGCTGAAACCCCAGCCAGACCCCTCCCATTATGCTGGATGGCAGAGAGGGCGAGGAGTCAGAGGGCGGGGAAGCAGCCTCTTTTTCATCAGTGCTTCCCCATCGGCTTCAACTCACGGGAAAAGCTGTCGTCGATGTCTGTACAATTGGTGATATTCTCTGTGGTGCAGATTTTCCAGACATCTGCAAAAAACCCGTCTCCTACCCACCAGGCCTGTAACACAAAATGAAAACACAGGGAAAGGCTGGTGGGTAATGATGAAAACACGGACTTCTAATCGTGTTAATGAGGAAAACACGGACTCCTGTTGGGTGGGAGGCACACGGTGAACGGGCGTTTGGGACCGGTGCTTCTCAGTCTGCGGTGTGCGTGCGGGTCACCTGGGGATCTGGTTGACCTGCAGATTCTGATTGGAGAGGCTGGCGGTGGGGCCGGAGATCAGGCTCCGGTGATGTCCACACCGCTGGTCTGAGTGAAGGACAGGATGGTCCAGGCCCTCCCGAGGTGGAGGAGAGGGGACCAGGCTCGGTTGGTGGGATAAACACACAGTGGTACATTCCACCAGGGCCACAGGAGTGAAGGCAGAAGGGAGTGAGAACATGATGAAACTGGTCGGGGAAGGCGGGGAGCCTGTTATGGATGAAATGATCAGGCGAGACTCCCCTGTCTTCAGTCCAAAGGCTTTCATTTCTCTCCTGCTTCTGCTATCTCCACCCCCTCGATCACAGGAATCTCCCTCACCCGTCCACCCAGGCTCAGACATCCACTGCGTTCCCACTGCATGCCCTGATACAGTGCCAAGCACAATTCCTAACCCATGAGCAGCCTGTGACTCACTGGATGGCAAGAATGCCCATCTGTGAGCGCCACAGCCATGTGCATGCACAGGAGCCTTCCACAGGACTGAGAGGCGCTGTGGCTTTTCTGCCCCTCGTGTCTGTCTATCCTGCTCACTTAGTCTGTGACCATTTCAGGACCCCGGGGGACCAGAGGCAAGACACAGAGAAAGGATATTCTGAAAGAACATTCAACATCATTTATTTCACCAAGTGTGGGCGCTTTGGATAACGGCAAGTGAAATACTTTAACTCCCGGCATCACTGTGATCCCTGCCCTACCCACTCACGGCTGTTCTTCAGGAACCTGCAAGAAGCCAAACCTGGTCACTGCATTGATCTGCCCTTACAGGATCTGAGGCCAGATCTGTAACGGTTCCAATGCCAGGTCTGCCACTTACTGCAGTGTAAACTCCAGCAGGGACCTTCCCTGCCCGGAGACCCAGTTCCCTCATAAAACAGTGCCAGGAGAGGCCCTATCTCATAAACTTGAGGTGAGGATCATCTGAGATGATGTACATGAAAGGGACTAGCCCAGGACCTGGCCAGCGTGAGCACACGCTAAGCGACAGGAGGTGTGAGGGTTTATGTCACTACTGTTACGACAATTAGTCAACGGAAGTCTATAGGCAGGCAGAGCTGACAGCCACTTGTAAGGTGCGCTTTTAGCTGTGTGAGCAGTGTTTTTGACTCTAAATGTCTCTGCAGTCTGAAATGATCAGGATGGAAGCCAGGCCTTTGGATCGAGGTGCGGGCCACAGGGGATCTTTGGTAAAATCTTCACCTGATGCTGGCGGGGATATTAATCTATGCCAATAGATTATTTACCAAATGCATTCCTGCCACATGGCTGAGAGCTGGACACTAAAGGAAAAGAGTTCAAATTTTCACGGTAGCACGGGCAGAGTCAGAAAGTCCCACGTCTGGGCTCTGCTGGGGAGAGCAAGGCCAGGGGGGCCAGCAACAAGGGCTTCTGTCAGTCAGGAGATGTCAGAAGCGAGAGGGGCAGAGATCCCCCAGGATGGGTCACCTGGGAGCTAGGGTGGTGAGGATGATTTTGCCCCCCATTAGATATCTGGCAACATCCGAAGACATTCCTGGTTGTCACAAATAGGGGTGCGAGTGCTGCTGGCATCCAGTGGGTAGAGACCAGGGATGTGGCTAACCCTCCTACAGTGCACAGACGGCCCCCAAAATGACTGGTCAACCTAGCACCACGGGGGAGTCATTGACCTCAGGAGGGGTGAATTGGAGCCGAGTCCCCAAGAGGCTTCCTAGAACCAAAGCATCACGCCAGGCTCTGTGGGGGAATCAGAGATGAGAGGACCAAGGTCCCGGCCCACCTAAATGTGGATGCTTCAGACCCCAACACTTAGGCCAGAGCCTCAGGCCCAGGCTCAGGAGGTAGGCATGCCTTGGTGGGCCGGACAACCCCAGTTACAATCATCCGGGGGAGTTGCTACTCCTGCTGTTGACGGCAAGGTCCAGGGGCTGTGGGACGGTCGTAAGGAAACGGAACTTACATTGTCGATGGTGGCGATGAAGAGCAAGGCCGCGGAGGTGATGTGGAAGATGATGATGAAAGCCAGGAGCACCAGCATTTTCACAGGGCGCGGGCGGGCGAGGGGCGCGTGGAAAGCCCGGAGAGAGCAGGTGGTGTGCTAAAGAGGGTGTGAGAAATTGGAATTTGTCAAGGACAAAATTAAAATGAAAAAACAGGCAAGCTTTATTGGGGCTTAAGGCAATAAAAAGCGGCCCAGCTGGGTGTAGCTCAGCGGTTGAGCGTCGACCCAGGAACCAAGAAGTCACCGGTTTGATTCCTGGTCAGGGCATATGCCCAGGTTGCAGGCTTGATTGATCCCCAGTGGGGGGTGTGCAGGAGGCAGCCAATCAATGATTCCCTCTCATCATTGATGTTTCTATCTCTCTCTCTACCTTCCTCTCTGAAATCAATAAAAATATATTTAAATAAAGATATAGACTTTTCTATTAAAAAAGAAAAGAAAAAGCAGCTCTTCCTATCTTTCCTTGCCTGCGTATTTTATCAGACAAAGTCTAGAGCTATCTTTTCAAAGCCGTTCTTTGTTGCATCCAGACACTGAATATTCCTTGTGGAGGATTTGGGGTGAGGACCAATTAGAATCCCTCCTTCAGAAAAGAATCCCACCTCTTCAGGGGCCTGCCAGGGGCTCTGAGGCAAGCAGGAGGGGCTGTGTGTGGGCTAAAATGCTGTCTGAATCTGCCCCTTTCCCACCAGCAATGCTCTGGGGATATCACAGCACCAGACGAAGCTCACCCTCTGGGTTGAGTATTCATTGTCACAGTCCCTGCTGTGTAACGAAGCAAAGGTAGTCATGATACACAAATATTTCCTAGTAATCTGATCACTTATAAAATTAACCCCCACTCAAACGCCCTTCCTCTTAATACCTATACTCACTTGAACAACATCCAACTACTAAATGTAAATACAACATGTGGCAGACAGCTGCCATTCATTTTTCCTCCCTCTGGGCACTGGAAGACTGAATTTCCCAGACTCCCTTGCAGTTAGGTTGGACCTTGTGACTGATTCTGGCCAATGGTCTGTAAGCAACATGAGTGGGTGTCATTTCCGGTCTGAAGCATTCCCGCAGTCAGAAGCAGGTGTGAGTTCTCCATGCTCCCCAACTCTGATGAAATAGCTGGGATGGTGCAGCCACAACACACCAAAAGAGAATCATTAAAAGAGCCTTTTCCTGATACCAACTCTCCCACTTAGAGTTGCACTGTGCAAAAAGCTCCACCTTTTCTCTGTCAGCTCTCCCCTCGGAGCGTGCTCTCTCTCACTCGCACTCCCTGAGTCCCTGACCAATGCTGGCCTTTGAGACCCAGGACCTTTAACCATGAGCCAGGAGCTGTGTGGCTGCAGGGCTCAGCCTGGCTGGTCCCAGCTGCGACTCTGCATCATCATTTGGAAGAACCCAGTGAACCAGCTCAGAGATTCTTCCAATTCTTTTAAGAAGGACAAACTCCCCTTTGTGTAGGCCTGCGTCACTCTTAGCTGCCATCATATGCTGCCTCAAAGGAAAAAACAAAAAAGGCTCATGCACCACAGATATTACTCTGATGCCAGCTGGAACGCAAAATGCCAACCTCACCAGGCAGGGCCACAAACTTCAGGGTGATAATGGCTTTACACATTGTCCAGCTCAGATGACACAAATGCCTATGGACACATAATTAAGACTTACTGGAAAAGGGGGAAAAAAAAAAAAAAAAAGGCTTTAACTCAGTCTTCCCCAAAGTGTGGAATTCATGTTACAAAGCATGATTTTGGATGGTGCACTGATATGGGATAAAATAACAATACACCATGTAGGGAGAAATTGTCTGAGTCCACCAACGAGAAAAGATCCAGTTTGGGGCTAGTCTGTCTCTAACATGTGCCATTTTTTAAGAACAACAACAATAAGCAGAACTTTGGGCAAGCCATAGTGTGTTGCTTTGATATTGTAATGTTTATTTTAAGGTTCTCTCTTTTTAATTTTTTAAAAATGTATTGATTGATTTTAAAGAAAGGACAGGAGGGAGGGAGGGAAGAAGAGAGGGAGAGAGAATGAGAGATTGAGATTGATGTATTGTTCCATTTATTCATGCATTCATTCTGTGATTCTTGTATGTGCCCTGACCAGGGAACAAACCCATAAACTTGGTGTATTTGGTGATACTTTAACCAACTCAGCTACCAGGCCAGAGCTAAGATTCTCTCTTTTTATAGAAATATCATATATACTAGAGATATAAAGTCTCATTAAAACAACTTTATTGAAATTTTAAAAGAGTGAATCATTTAGAAAATATATTATGTAACATAAAAGGACAGGTGGTCTTCAGTGTTAGCAAAAATCCTGGGGTGGTTCTCAGAGCCTAATGTCTGGGATGCGCTGCTTTAACACCTGAAGTGATATCAATTGGAATCCCAGACATCAGGAATAAGCTCCTGCACAGAAAAGGGCAAGTGTTTACAAGGGGTCAAGTCAGGTCTTGAGTCCGGTGTAAGGCGAAGGCCTTGGGGAATACAAGGGCGGCAAGAGATTGGTTTGAGTTGTTTGACATCCGGGAAAACCGGAAATAGAGAAGTACTCTCCCATGATGACATCTGGAATTCAGATCTAGTGACCTCACCAGAGCTTTGGAGGAAATCATTCATAAGTAGAGGAGATCCCTTGAATCTCTAAAAGGGATTCTATATCTTTAAATCAAAATAAGTCTCCCTGTTCCTTTCCGACAGGCAGCCACTCTCCCCAGGTTCCTAAGACCCCTTCCAGAGATAGCATCTGTTAGGTGGGAACACTTACTCCCCACTCTTCCCGCTTCCCTATGGAGGGGGATGCACCAGAGTAACACTTCTGGCCTCACGCCCCACCCCTCACTCACTCCTTTGCTTCTGATTGGAGGAGACACCTGGTGGAGCTCAGGCATCCAGGGGCCACTGTGTATGGCGATGCCCTTCCCTCCTCTCTCCACTAGGTGTGTCTGAGCTTCCAGAGTCCCAATGTCCTTGACTGGAGGGGCTCTAGGGCTAGTGGAGGACAGGGGTGTGGAGCTGAGAGCTACAGCAAGCTCATTTGGCCCCAGTCTGACCTAAGTCAACCCAGCCTCTCTCACCTGTGCATATCCCCAAGAGATCATTCATTTCCATATGAATCCACCTCCCTTTGGATAGACTGCCTGGTGCTCTGTTGTAGGCTCTGCCACAATGTACTCCCCTAGCTCCCTATCCAGGCCCATTTCGTTCGTTTCCAGGCTTTTGCTACTCCAAGCGATACCACCAGTGAACATTTCTGAAGTTACTTCTTTGCTTGGACAGATTCTTAAACGTGGAGATGCTGGATCAAAGGATATGAACATTTAGTTTATTGCATTTTATTTTTTATTAATTAAAATTTGATTTACAGCAAAGCATACTAGGAACTGTTGGTGCTGTGTCAGCCTTGATCTTCAGAGGGTCTTCAGGGAGTGGAAAGTATCGGACCCACTCTTATGCATGGCCTGGGTGGGTGGACAAGCCTTGGTTTCCTATCTTTGACTTATTAACACCCCTATTTTCCCTGGAAGTAGAATTCTGCCACTACAGTCCAGCTTCTGCATCCCCACGGCTCTTCCTAGAGGTGCTCAATCCTTCCCACAACAAACATTATGTTTTACTCCTGGGCAGGGACTCGGTGGGCCCTCTTGGGAGATACTCAAGGACAGACAGCTCACTGGGCTGGGTATTGGAAAGCTGGCCCACCACACCCAGGGTGGTATCACATTTACGCTTCCCATGTACAGAAACTTAATTTCCCTTAAAAAAAAAATCATACTGACCCCTTGTACCTCCCCCCTTCCCTTGTCCTTGCAGGACACTGTGCTCTGCTGGAACAGTTCCCAGAGCGCCCTGCCACCCCCGCTGGCTTTCCCTCACATTGTCTAGGTCTCAACTCAAGCATCCCCTCCTGATCACCCATGCCCCCAGCAATGTCTATCCCCCATCATTATCTATCCCATCCCAGCATCACCTATACCATCCTCTGGTTTATTTTCTTCAGAAAACTCTTCAGTCTCAAAGAATCTTATTTGTTCACTTGTCTATTGCCCAGAAACAGGAACTGGGGGGTGGGGGGGGTGGGGGCATGACTGGCTCCAGTCCCACAGCGAAACAAGGGCAAGGCCAGGACTGGAGGGTCTCCTGGCCCCTCTCCAGTTTCCCTTTCAACCTCCATGGGAGACCCCTAGAGGACGCACCATTTCCCAAAAGTCTCTGTCACGCTCAAGTACAGCATTCACCAGGCAGTTCAAACCAGGCTGTTTTTCTTTTGGTGCCGAGCAGGGTGTGGTAAGCGGACACCTGGGTTTGGGCGTTTACCTGTCCAGAGGGGGAGGCCGCACCAGATGAGCTTCCCCAGTTCCTGTCCAGAAATCAGAGTCTTACGATTGGCAGAACTTCTCTTTAAAAAAAAAAATTTTTTTTAAAATGCTTTGATCTACACAGTACATGGGCTGGTTAAGAATAAAAAGGATAATGGAACCAAAAGGCACATGATGAAAAACCACAGCCTTCTGCCCCACCCCAGGCCTAATCCCGGGAAACACTTAACCTTTTCCGCTGTCTTTCTTCCACAGTTCCATATTTCCCAACAACACTCATGCGATTCTATTTCCAGAGTCATCTACTGTGAACATTACTGACTTCCTGCCTAGAGGAGCGTTTCCTCACCCGTCATCCCAATACAGTCTTGTCATACTCACATCAGTGTCGTTTGCAGTATGACCACATTGGCTGTTCGCTGCAGAGCCAAATAGTGTACTATCAATAGAATTGCACTCTATTTACAAAACTCTTCTTTTCTCTAGCCAGTTCCCTGTTCTCTCTCTCTCTGCGGCTCCATTATCCTCATTTCTTGAGTGCTTTCCATATTTTTTATCACCCCAAGTTCCCTATGACAGAATCCCAGATGCTGGGCAAATGCACGGTTTCACTCACAAGCTCGTGCTAGATTCATCTTTCCCAGTGCACTTGACCCAGCCAGGCCCTAACTCCGTCCTCCTCTGCTCTCCATGTGCAATCTCAGCAGCTGCCGCCGCCACAGAACAAGTAAGACAAGCATTCTCCAGGGAAGACTAGCAGATTGACTCA